TATACAAATGAAACCAGCTGATGTCTTAATAATGAGAAGGGACATATAAATAACAAACAGAAGAGGGGCTTGGATAACTTTCCTGTATTAGATTTACAAAAGAGACCTTGAAGTTTTGAAGGATTTTATGAGATGAGACAAAGGAAAATAAATTCTTGGACATATTTGAAGAGATTAAAGAACAACATTGTGAAACATAAGGAGAATAAATATAAAGTTGGTTTATTTGGTCAAGGTTAAAAAATCATTTCTATTTTTTACATCTTTATTTTTTTAGTTTGTATTAGCTTTTATCTTTTGAATTGTAATATTTAATAAATTTATTACAATTTTCCCCTCCATTTTCACACCTAAATTGAAGCCAACCTTAATTTTTTTCCCACTTCTGTTGGTCTTGAATCCCAGAAAGCCCCATGAGCCAATCAGTTCTCTCTCCGGTTGAGACTTGAGATGATGAGAATCATTGCCTGAATTGCCCAGTTCTCAGAGAAATTAAAAATCTCCTGACCCTCCCTACTTCACCCAAAATAGATTACCACCAGCCCAGTAACATTTTTAAAGGAATTGTTCCAGAGGAGGAGCCACACCATTGTGAAAACTCTGTTTCAGCTAACATACACTTCTACTAGTTGTGAATTTAAAAGAATTGTGTATCAGCATTTTTGGGACCAGGTTCTTTTCCCAAGGAGTGGAACCTCTGATGGGGCATTAGAGTAAAAAGGGATTGGCCTCTGCTAAGCTGTTCCCATCTCCCACTGCACCCCACATCCACTTCTGAAGGAGAGCATGTTTCTCTGCCTCCCCCCCTCGGTTTCCTTGGATTCATTATGAAATAAGATGAGCTCCATCACCAAGAAGGCCAGACAGATTAGCATATTTCTGGTTGCTTGTTAATCCACTGCAGGATTACCAATGAAGTGAGCGCTCCAACTGAGCTCCGTTGTAAGAGAAAAGGCAAGCTTGCTTTGGGGAGGGGGAGATTCCAGTTATAGTACAACTCCACTGTGGTGCTGGAGATCAATGGGGCCGTTGAGTCTTGGCTTTCCTGGGGGCAGGCATAAATCACTCCCATCCATTCCTCTTCTTTCCTTGACATGAGCCTGAGAGGTGCCCTCCCGCTTCCAACGTGCCTGATGTATTGCAAGCTCCTGCCTATAGCTAGGCTTCATTTGTTTCCAGGATGAACACTGCAGTGGGGCTGCTGAGGGAGGCAGGTGCCACTTTGCTATGATCAACTCTTTCTGCCCGACTTCTCCCTCATAGGCACATTGGCTTGCCTCACTCCTACTGGGAGATCTGTAGGTATTCCCTTTGGATTTGAGGTATTACTCCTTCCACCCATCTCTACCATTCTCTGCTTAGCACTATTCTCTGCTACCCTGAGCCAGTCTAATGTTGCTGCTTCTGAAGCAATATACTTCCCTGCTCCACACAGGTGGGCAGACAAACAGACCGGCTGTGGGCTGCTTCCATGCTTTCTCAGCTGGTCTTTGTCATTTCGAACTCGCATCAAAAAAGTGGATGGCACAAGAATCTCTGCCTATGATTTCTCTCATTCAACCATGAATATCATTATGTGGTTCAAAAAGCCTTTATAGCAATAGCAGTTAGACTTATATACCGCTTCATAGGGCTTTCAGCCCTCTCTAAGCGGTTTACAGAGTCAGCATATTGCCCCCACAGTCTGGGTCCTCATTTCACCCACCTCGGAAGGATGGAAGGCTAAGTCAACCTTGAGCCGGTGAGATTAGAACCACTGAACTGCAGATAACAGTCAGCTGAAGTGGCCTACAGTACTGCACCCTAACCACTGCGCCACCTCGGCTCTTTCATTGGCAGGGTCAAAAAAACTATAAAATGTGGTACAAAATGGCACCTTTTGTTTCTCTTGGGAGAGGCTTGTGATTCTTCCCTGAGCAAGTGATCACCAAATAATATTTTACGCTCCCTATTAGCCATCATGGTTCATTACACATTACTAACTCCATAGTTAATAATATTGTTGCACTTCCCTAATCTCTTAATATTTAAACTAATAGCATGGCCCAACTGGTGCCTTCTTACAGGAGGACTCATAGGTGCTTTTTCTGCATCCTTTGGTCTGACTTGAATTCTTTGATCTGGAGGTACTTGCATCCATGGCAGGATGAAGCTCTTCTGCCTCAGAGGTAAGGTGGGTATGCATGTTTGGGCCTACTGGCATGCTGCATGCCATATGCCTTTGGGGCGAAGGGGGCATATGGGGCTGAAAAGAATGATACATCTTGAGATGGCTGGGAATGTCTTGAGATGAACCAGCTCCTGAGATAAAAGCTTGTCAGCAGATCGTGCTGGCTGAGGTAGTTTTTCTGGGCTGTGTTACTCACACCCCTTTTGCCAGCAAGGCAAGAGCATGGCCCTCTTTGCCTTTGAACTATTCTCTTAGCTGGACACGAGAAAGACTGCAGTGTCCCCCATCAGGTCATTTCAGTCCCACATTTGACCATAGTTGCCAAGCTGAATAAATAGAGAAAGCAGACCAGTCAAGCTGGACTGTGTAATGGAAGGCAAAGTAGTGATAGTCACAGTATGGCCAACCAGTCCATATGTGGTGCCGCTGTGTGTGAAAATCCTGGACAAATGGCCGGGAGGGAAGAGGGTCTTGAAAGAATCTTGTCTGCAGAGTCTGGCTGCTTGGATTCTTCCATAGCTCACGTTGGGTTGCTTTGAGCCATGAGAAGATCTAGATCCAGGTTCCTTGGGAATTCCAGCTGCTTCTGGAATATTTGCCTTAGACAAAGTTGCTGCTCAGTCTCCGTTGTGCTTCCTCATCCCACTCTATCCTGGCCCCATACTCATCACCTACAAACAAGGCAGAAGAAGAAAGGAAAGCTATTAGCCCAGCTGGCAATGCCCAGGGGCAGCATATACTATCTCTAGGCTGTGGGACACAGTTTAGCTTCCGACCATAGCTAAGGCTTTCTGTGGTGTTTATACCTGTGTGGCATCCATGCAGCCAAATGCGATGTCCCTCATACTGGCACTGACAGCGAAGGGCATTGTTGGAAAAGTCGGACTCTGCTACCTCGTGCTTAGGGTTCACTATAACCTGGGGGGAAAAAGTGGGTGGGGGAGGGAAAAGATAGTTAGTAGTTCAGGTTGCTTGCTCTCTTCTCATCTTCTCTGTGCCCCTTCCCAGTTTTAGTTTTTTTTTTTTTAAATCCACGACAAAGCAACTGACAACAAGGGCCAAATTTATGCCTTTATGCTAATATGCCTCTGTGCTCAGACCAAGTCAAGATTCCTTCCCAGACTTACCTGGAATATGTAACTTCCAGGGGGCACATCAGTGATATCTATCCACTGGCAGTCAATATCATGTCTGTATGTGTCCCAGCAGCCTACACTGACACCCTGCTCTCCAAAATTAGCACAGGCAAAACGCCGCTGCATTCCTATATGGAAGAGAATAGACTAAGTGGGAGAGTGTAGGCCTTGCCTCACTCACAATAGACGTCTGGTGTACACATGTAGCATTTGGTTCTAACTTTGTTACTGTTCACTTTTGTGTCTCATGAACTTTCTCTTACCTTCTGGGCAGTTGGTGTCCTCCAGACAGAAACTGGCCTTGTGTCCCTCAGCCACTTTGGATCCATTGAGTGTCAGTAAGTCATAGTGTGTGAAAACTTCAATGCTGTGGAAATGTCTGTGGGATGATGAAAATGAGGAATCAGAAGGTTAAGACAAAACTATAGCTTGGAAGAAACGGGCTTGTCTAGGCAATAGCCAAACAGTCCTTCCTGCTACTTGTGGCCACGAAAAGCAAAGATCTGCTGAGCCATGAAACAAAGCAAAGTAGACGAATTAAGTGGGGCTTTTGGCTCAGTTGCTATTATAGCTCTTCATCCGTGCTCAACCATAATGATAGCTTGAGCATAAACATTGCTATTTTCCCAGATGCAACAAACTGAGCTCTCACCATAAAAGAGCTGGCTAGGGTGGATATCTTTCAGTGGGACACGGGAGCTTTAACTTACAGGAAGATGAAAAGGCTAGGTTTAGAAAAGGAAAAGTCTGGACGTGTTTATTTTTAAATGAATAAACAAAAATACCAAACAGGAATTAACAATTTCAGTCTCAGGTTGCACACATGCATTGGATAGCAATAGCACTTTCCATGACAAAGAAGCACATATTACTGGCCGTGGTGTGTCAAGAACTGCCCATTACCTGTGGCATTCATGCCATATCCATGCATGACGGCCAATTTTGGGAAGGAAGTCAGCCCGGCCCAGGTTGTGGATCTGAGAGGAGAAGCGCAGCAGGCGTCGATACCCCTCTGGCCAGTTCATACGGTCAGCAGAGGCAGAAAGGCAGCCTTCCTCATGGGCACAATACAGCATGTTCAATGGGCGGTCCTCAAGATAAGCTGTCTCCTCTACTAGCTGGGCATTCATTACTAGATCTGGAGCATCTAAGAAGACAAATCGGGCATGAAGCCTTAAATCCATACAGTGAGAATTCTAGGCCCATAATGTTAGGCAGTTGATATCTCAGTCCAACTACACCACATTCTCCAGATTTGTCCATCATATTATATCCCAAAGATGCTTTTTCAAAAGGTAACTGGACTTTCTGGTTTTTCTTTTCTCATCCAAGAAGTTTCTTCCCTACCATCCAGTCAAGACGTTTCATTTCTCATCCAGGAAGAAGCTTCTTGGATGAGAAGCGAAATGCCTTCAAAGAAAAAAAAGGAGGTCCAGTTACCTTTTGAAAAAAGCACCTTTGGGGCAACCTGGATGATGGACAATCTCCATAAACACCATACTATATATTTTGCACTCTCTCAACATTTCTTTCTTCAACCTCAAAATAACAATCAATCGATCAATCAGCCTTTGCCCTGGGCAAAAAGGTGCCTCATATAACTGCTCTGATGTGTAAGAGAGCTGCTCTACTACACCTGATCTTACTGCCTTAGCTTTAAATACCCCCAGGCCTGGTCAGACCATTCCTTTTCCCACTTACTCTGGGCGCAGGTGACTCCTGCAACAAAACGGCCTCCTCCATTTGGGCAATGCACGGGTCCATGGTGCTCACATTGAAGGATAGACAGTTCTGTACCTTTACAGCGCACACCACTCAACACCACCTCAGACGCATCTGTATTGCCCTGCCAGTACCATGTTTCCTGGAATAGGAACAAAGGAGCAGGAACCAAGTAAATAGCTCTGGATTTGAAATCCTTGTCTTGGGGCTTCCTTTAAGCCCTTGCCCAAGTGTGATTAACTTGAAAGCTTGGAACATCGGTTACCATATTTGCAACTGAGTAAGCAAGCCAGCATTGTGCTGGTACACTCAGTACTTAACATTGTGAGTCAATAATGCAGGCAATCACTTACCTGGAGAGCATGGCTTGCAAAGCCCAGCCCCATCTGTCGACAAACAACCATGGCCTCCTTGAGTCCCCAGTGTTCCCCACACACAGCACCCCAGCGGAAGGCACTTCCTTTGGGCACCAGTATTTCTACAATGCCTTCTTCTGAAGTGCGCCCACCAGCCAGACGGATCTGAATGGATGAAAACTGGCTTAATAGAATGGAATAATTGTGATGTAACGAGATGCATGTTACAGGTGAATCCAAAGCATCCTTAAGAGTTTTTGAAAATTTGGATACATGTTTCCTTATGCATAATGCATAATGGATTGTATGAAGGCCATTCATATTTGTCAAGTGGCAGTGGCTCTTGTTTTTCAGCCTGCCAAGTTGTGGTACCAGTGGTGGGTTTCAATTTTTTTTAGAACCTCTTCTGTAGGTGAGGCCTGCTTTGTGGGAGTAGCCTGCCAGCCATATGACTGGGTGGGCATGGCCAACTTGTGAAATGTGGTGAAACTCACGTAACAAAGCTCTTGCTTAGCAACCAAAGCGTTCTGTGTCTAGACAAGTGCAATTTCCGGACTT